AGCACCGCGCTCGTGCGTTTACTAGCAGCCATTCTCTAAACACCATGACGTTTAACACGCATCTCATTCTGCTTAGCGAGCAAGCTTGATATCCAAGTCGTCGAATTCTACTTGATTGTACCCCGACGTGCAGCAGAAGCGCCCCACCTCGAAGCGCCGATAGCAGTCATGAATGGCTGCTTGCCGAGAGCGACAAGATAGCACGCCATCAAGCGCAACCGATGTGTCTACTGACGGCGAGACAAGCCAGCAGTTGAAGCGTAACGTCCTTTCACTACGTGCCTTACCGCGCGACCTGTCAATCCAAGTGTTTGCAGATCCGATACTCGACTAAATCTACGGTAGCCAACGATCCAAGGCAATCGTCTCGCCTACGCGCGTATGAACGCTGTACCGCAAGGCGACACGGCAACTCGCAGAGTATTCATCTACCGTGTCTTGAAGTTCTTTTCTTCGATGGCAATTGTTCTGTGCTTCCTCACTTGACCTTTGGCACTGCACCGATCACGTTTCAAGAGGACGGCAACGCTGGCAGCGCGAGGCCCATGCATTGCTTCTCGCGACATGTACGTATGCCGCTCATCGCTCTTAGCGTCGCTCTCGCGCTCGATCAAAACGACCCGACGCTGCCAACCAAGTCGGGTGTCAAGACGTGGGTCGACGTCGAGACGCCCGCCCAGTTTCACACGATGACGAGCTCTCGAGGCGACAGGTGGGACTTGGTCATGAGCGACGAGTTCAACTTGGCTGGACGCGACTTTACCGCCGGCCATGACCATCTCTGGGTCGCCCTCGACATGCCCGACGGCGTCAACCGCGCCGTGGGAACATATGCGACCGAAAATGCTTTCACGGCCGACGGCGCATTCCAGATCCGCGTCGACTCGGTCGAGACCAACATTACATACTTTAACGTGTGGGCCGACGTACCTTCGTGGCAAAACAAGACCATGGTACGCACGTCGATGCTGCGCGCTTGTCATATGCGCACTCTAGTACTACCGGGCGGGGATGGTGCAAACGTGGAACAAGTTTTGCATCCAAGGCGGGTTTGTCGAGATTGCGGCCAAGCTACCGGGGGCCATTAACCCCGAGTCCATGAACCCCCACGTGACGGGAAAGCTCTGGAACTCAACCCTCCAACGCAGCGTCCCCGTCAAGCCGCTTGACCGCATTCCCGACCTCAAGTTCTACCCGACGTGGCCAGGTCTCTGGATGATGGGCAACCTCGGTCGTGCGCTCTTTGCGGCATCGACCAACCGCATGTGGCCGTGGACGTACAACGAGTGTGACGAGCGGTACCGGACGTCCCAGCGCATAAGCGCCTGCGATCCGAACCCCGGCTACGGCTTGCACCCGAACATGGGCCGTGGGGCGCCCGAGCTCGACCTTGTGGAGGGAGGTGGCAGCGACATTTCATCATCACTGCAGTTAGCACCAGGTATGCCAGAAGAATATCGGTTGTTTCCGCCCCAGATCAAGTACGAGGGTGTCAACAACACGGACGCCAAAGGTGCAGGATGTCTAGCAATGTACCTCATGCGAAGCGATGATTTAGGCCGGCGCGGCATTGGGTCCACGTTGTGTCTCTACGGCCAAACCTGCTTGACACCCGGTGCCAACATGGTCGACATTCCGACGTCGGTGTACGCGGCCCGCGGACACAAGTCGTGGTACCAAGGTCTCCGGTACGCCGCCAACAACCGGTGCACGCCTGTCGAGGCCCAAAGGCAGGCATATGCGTCCGTCGCCGCGGCGCAAAATGGTACGATCGACGACAACCAGTTTGACATCAAGACCATCAGCGCGGGTCGTGATTTGCATGCCGATCTCGGGCTCATCGATGGCAAGGGCCCGCTGCACTGGGGCATCAACTACAATGGCACGTGCTTTCCCGTCTCCAATGGCTACACCGGGTCGTTCCTCTGCGACCGTGACAACCAAAACCCCAAGTGCGCGGCGCCGCGGAAGGACGCGCAGACGCCAAC